GAGAGAGATGTAGCCTATCAGCACTCACTCCCGACAGTTTAACTTGGTGAGCCGGTCATCGATTACGGCTAAAGTAAAGTAGCACACTGCGTTTGAAAAAGCTGGCAGTTTGAGTCAGCAAGTGCCACCTCCGAGTAGCTACCGCGGTCGTTATCCAGAAAGGGACATAAACGAAAGAGAAGATGTCCTCAGAAAGCTATTGAGAGAGGGCAGGTCAGCAGACCGGGAAGTCAATTGTTTGGCGATGGGCACCCTACATAAGTGTTATTGTGTATCAAAGAGGGGCATTTAGCAGGTCAGATTGTAGGAAAAGAGAGAAGACCATTTCACGTGGACCTGATTATGGTTGACGCATAACGGAAGAGACCAGCGGTATTCCCGCCTGTCTAGTGAACTGCCAACGGATGGCTGTAAAACCGTCGGCGAAGAGTCGAATAGCACCAACCGCTAGCATGGGTCAGCCTCGCACATACGATGTAAAAATCTTGAAGTATCCAGTCAATGGCCTTAATAAGACACTGGCTGCAGTGGTCCTCTATCATACCTGTCGGGAATTACTATAAGCAGGCCCGCGCCAAGGGTCGATCTGGACAGTGAGCGCTCCGCATAGTAGGTGAAGGCAGCGCGAAAAGCAGTTGATGTGTCGGGAAATGCAATGAGCTTCTCTCGGAAATAGTTTAACAGAATAAGGTCATAGGAGCCTAGCACGACTTGCGTTCACATGCACGTTTGGGGCCAAAAAGAAGCAAAGATAATAACGCTCACTACTAGGTAGCAAAATGATTTAGCAGAAGCTGGGTATTCCCAATAAAACTTACCCCGTAATGGCACCAGAACATGGTCACAGCGCGACGAATAGCCAGTTTTGAAAAAGGCACCTCCTGACACGGCTTTTGGCAGAGGCAGAGTTGTACTGTGCGCACCAGGCACTGTTGGGCGACTGTAATAAATAAATGGTGGGACCCGTAAATGGGGCCTGTATGTTTCTGGTATTCAGAATCCCCCAAGATCCGATATCGGGGGTAACTGCCAAATAAATCGTGGTAAGAGCGTAGATTTCGGTCGTAAATCGCGGAACGAGTTTTGGGTAATCACAGAGGTAGTAAACTTAGGCGAGGTTATTCCTCGGAATACCTGGGTTGATCCTAGAGTGCTAATATTCCAGGCAGATATCTTATGTTCTGCATCACTCACAGCTCCGCAGCAGCCGAAAGAATTGATCTATTACTATCCATCTTGGAGCACAAACAGGAAGGCTGTCCCATGCCGGACGAGGTGCGAGGTGGTGGTGACAGAATTAGCGAAGTATTCGCTATTTCGGATACGGAGGCTAACGGAGACTACCCTTGTCCAACATGGACATAGATAAAGGTGAACACATTCGCATAAGGCAGAAAACTCAGACCGCGTGCCGGCACGCACGTACCTATACGTGGTAAAGTGCATGAGAATGCTCCACAGACCTAAGGGAAGAATGTGAAATGAGGACAGTCCAGTCACCGTGGGCATCAACCAATAGTCCTGGTCGCCAAGAAGATGGGTTCACCAAGGGGTATGCAGATATTGTTGGGCGGGTATACGGTAAGTTTACTGTAGAATAGGGCGGAGCCTATCTCTCGCCTTTCAATTATCGCCTGGGGTGTGACTCATTCAAGTTGCACGAGTGTCTCGCCGGGTCATATTAGGCAGGCGACTGCTGCCTGAAGCGGCTGTAATACGAATACAATATCGAGTTGAACGATTAAATGAAACACTTTATTAGCGTCTTAATATTATTATAATTATCGTATATTATTGTTGTTCCGGGAAAGTTCCAGCGTTTTGGGTGTTTCACTTAAACGATCGTAACTTTTTAATACCATTGCGGATTCCCATCGAAATAGGCAACCATTCGAAATCAGCACACTTTGGCCAATGTGATCAGCAGTCGAAAAATCCTTCCAAAAATAAAAAACATGGGTGGTCCTTTGGCCTGGGGTGGTAAAGTCATAGTCACACCCAGCTGATGACCACCAAGCTGTGACGCAAAATTTTTTATTCGTGGGGTCGGCTTTGAAAATTACGGCTTGGTGTTCGTCACGAAAATCACGCCACTGACGCGGAAGCGTCTCCTCTTATCATACATGACCGCATCTTTCTCACAGGTGACAATTCGGCCCAAAAACAGTCGTTCTGCTGGCGGCAAAGGCAATGCAGAGGAACCTCGAGACGTGGCCGATTTCCGCCGGTCACTACCGATTGTGAGGCACCTGACGTTGAGTTTTGTTTCACCCATTCCCAAATGCGTATCCAGACACTTTGCAACAGTGGATTTGCCAACGCCTACTTTTCTGCAAATCCTCTCGAACGTTTGGGAAGGGTCAGCCTGTCAATCCCCTTAAATATCCTCGTCACATATTGCTTTAGGTCGACCGCTGTGAGGTTCCATCTTCAAGTTTAAAATCCAGAACGAAAATTTGTTGAGCTTCTATATCGTGAATATCTGCGCATCCTTCTGCAGATTCGATTCGGAGGAGCTGTGGAGAAGGTGTGGATTGTAGGCGGCTGAATTAGGGGAGAGAAGGTAAGAGGAGATTGGGAGCAAGCTAAAGATTTGTTGGCAGTGAAATAGGGGAGAGAGGTGGAGATGTTGGAACGGGGGTTGCAGTGTAGTAAACGATCCACTATAACTTTTTTCGCACCAGGCCAAACGCATCCAGCAGACCCTACTGTGAAAAAATCGACCGAATTGTACGCGAAAATTTTGTCAGAGCCAGCCAACACTTATCAGAAGAAAGGGTCCGATTCCTTGGCAATGACAAACGCTCGCCCACGACGTTTCACAAAATCACTATCCCTAAATTGAACGAATTGGGGTTGAAGTTCTACCTCAACCGCCATATTCTCCAGACCTTCACCAACCGACTATCACCTTTTCAAACATTTTTCAGAACCTCCTTGCGGAAAATACTTCATCATTAGGAGGCAGGCAAAAAAAAACTTCATCAGTTAGGAGCAGGCAAAAAAACCTTAGTGGATCCGTGAATTTTCGACCACCCAGTTTTTACTTTGATGGGATTTCTTGACTGCTGTCAGCATTGGCAAAGGGTGCTGATTCGAATGGTGGCCGTATTTCGATTGAATCCGATTGAGTATTAAAAAAGTTACGATCGTTTAAAGTGAAACGACCCAAAACGCTGAGAACTTTCCGGACAACCTAATAATAACGATAATTATAATAATATTAAGACGTAAAAAGTGTTTCATTTAATCGTTTCAACTCGATATTGTATTCGCATTAGAGCCGCTGAGGTCAGGCAGTGGCCTCATGCAACTTAATGAGGTCACACCCCAGGCGATAATTAAAAGGGCGAGATTAGGCTCCCCCCTCTACAGTAAGCCTTACCGGTACGCCGCCCAACAATGTCTCCACACCCGTTCACAAGGCTATGTGTAGACTACAGTGAAGTAAATAAGGTTACCAAAAAGGACAGTTCTCCCTTGCCGCCCATAGACATCACTTACAGAACCTCGCAAGGTAAGCAGTGGTTCACATGCGCTGATTAGCTAGTGGATAACTGCAGGTACCACTAATTGAAATAGCTAAAGGAAATTAACGCTTTTACGACTACGTCAGGACAGTTTCAGTTCCGGGTGCTGCCTTTTGGTCTAACGTAGTGCGCCCGCGAAATTCCAGCGTTTAATGGATAAGGTGCTAGGCGATTATACAGGGCACAGAAGTATCAGTCTACGTAGACGACATACTTATTTGCGACGGATTCGGTGCAAAAGACATATAGAGAAGTCCTCCACAAGGTTCTGTTAAATTCCGCAAAGCGCAGCTGAAGGTTAGGCCAAAGAGTGTCGGTAACGGTTAACGGAGCCCAGCTTAGAGTTTCTCGGCATGTGGTGGCATGCTAGTGGAGTGAGGGCTGACGCGGAGAAAGTTGCTCGCAATAAGAGATTTATGCCCGTCCACAGAATGTAGCTCATTAAGGACATTCCTTGGTATAGCGGGTTACTACGCGAAAGTTTGTTTTGATATTTTCCCAGACTTCAAAACCTCTTTTTGAGCTTACCAGTCAAAAGAAATTCTTATGTCCGATGAGCACGATACAGCTTTTGAAGCATTAAAAATAAATCTGTGGTCCAAAGCGCCACGTGTTGGCTCAACACAATATCGAGAAGGCTAGGGACGGATTCGACTTTTGTTATTTAACACCGACGGCTTAGCGAGAAGGAATTGGTGGCAGTTCTTAGCCCAGAGGAAAGGAGATGACCGTCTGTTGCTGGCATCCCGTATTCTTTGCTTCTAACATCTAACTAGCGCGGAAAGAAACTATCATGTTACATATCAAAGGAAGCGCTAGCATTTAATTTCAGTTTGAAAAAGTTCCACTTTTCATATACGGATGTCCACCGTCATTGTATATCTGATACAGTTAGCTCTCGACGTCACTTTTTAAGCGCACTAATAATCGCCCAGTGTTCTACGTTGGCCATTAAAAGTATTGGGTATTCTTGACTTTTGCTACCGGTGGGGACGCAGGCAAAACCACACCCAGGATATCCCCGGGTGTCACTGAACGTGCGACCCATACCCATCTACCCCAGTATGTCCCGTTAATGCTCGTGAAAATTTGCGGATATATCATCCTTGGACTTCACAAGAGCTGCGATGTGGCTGGATCAGTTTTCGAGACGGCGTTTGAATT